GTTGAAAACGCCCGCCCGCCCGTCTGCGTGTGTGAGGGTGCCTCTGTGGAAACCTCACGCCGACGTTCGGGCGAAAAATGTAGAACAGCACGGGCGAAATAAGATTGATCGCTGGTCCTCAGAAGGTCCTCTCTGTTAGAGGAGCGCACCACCAGAAATGTATGTGGGAACTGCGCCGAATTCCTTGCACGCGGCACTGTCGGAGACGCGTACACCGGGAGACTGCAACAGCTGAGGCGGGCACAAGACGGTAGCACCACGACGGAGCGGAGACTGCGGCAGATTCCCGAGAAACAAGACACTAACACCGCGGCACGGAAAGTAGCCGCAGCTTCGCACACGAAACAACAAAACAAAGGCGGCTGATGGGTAGTGGCGGCGACAGCCAGACGCCAGCTGGACTGACCGAAGGAGCACGTGCTCGGAACATGACCACGACGTCATGACGAGTCCAGAAGTCGCTTCTCCGCGTTCAGAGCCTCTGTGGCTAGCGATTGTTTCTGGGAGTAGGTCGACACGCAACCGCGCCAGCTGTGAGTGAATGGTTCACTCAACAAAAGGGCACCGGCAAAAAAGACACTGATGTATGTAGAGTTACATGAGTCAGGCTGGATTTATTCATTTATGACTTATGAGGATAATAAAAACAGCAAACCCCTACGAATGTAGGTATGTTAGTTTACACGAATGTAGGTATTTAATGCATAAATGCTCCAGAAGCTTGTGAAAGGGCATAGGTAGGATACCATAAGGTTCGTTTCCACTTAACCCGGCATCGCCTGGGCTATTTCCGTACCCACGACAGCCTGGGGGGTCGGATCCGACCCCCCCCCCCCTGTTATCTCGAGAACCAATGGTCGTATTGAGCCCCGCGAGGCGGCGTTCGAAAGGTCTCTACAAGTCCTTCCCAAAACACTCTTAAGATTTTTAAAATTGAGGTCAACTTTCGGGTCAAGGTCAGGTCAAAGGTCAAATTCTGGGGTATTGCATGATTAGGCTTATGGACAGCGGAATCGATAGCTGCTGCTCGAAACTCACCAAAAATGACCTCAAAGGCCTAGTGAAGGTACCATGTGCGTATAGGGGTCATACTAATTACGGGTCAAGGTCAGGTCAGGTCACGAAAGGTCACGGTTTTCACTTTCTGCTACATGGGCGTGCGGCACATGTTTTATGGCTTATTTTTCACGCCGAATCCGATGGTAATGGTTATATGTGACCCCAAGTCACTGTGCTGGTGATAAGTGTGCATTGAAAGCATTGAAACCAACGGCCCTGGTGGCGCAGTTGGTTAACCCTCGCATGTGTAGGGGGGATCGGATGGACCCCCCCATGGTTTTTCGCGAATAACTCGCGTAAAAAGCGGCCGATCGCGACGAAACTTTCAGTACCCTCGCATTGATCAATTTTACACCTACCCTGAAAATTTCATGACCCTGACCCAAATGACCTTTGACCTGTGACCTCTTTTCCGAGACCATGTCTGGCCGGAATCGCGATTTCGCGTATGTCGGCTCGCACTAGTCGCGTGTTTGCAAGCTTTTCGTGGTTTCAAACGTTCAAACATGTGATTTGATGTTACTCCCGTGTGTGTCAAGGTCACCTGAAGGTCAGGTCAGGTCATTGACCTTTGGTGACCTCGGGTGACCTCGGGTCACTTTTTCGAGTTTTACATGTTTCTAGGCTAGTTTTTGGAGCTGAATTCGAATTTAGCAACCATTTGAACATTTACAAAGTAGTTTTGGTGACTTCGTAACATGTTACGAAGCTGTCAGAGGCGGTTGACACGTACTACGAATACCCGTCACGACGCCTATTGGTTGACCTGACCTGACCTGACTCGACCTGGTCTAAATGCTTCAAGACATCATCTGTGGTCAAAACTAACACGATATTCGTGATCAGCACCCCGAAAAACCCCTTAGCAGCCACACTTTACGACTTTCTAACAGGTCCCGATTTTCCCGACTTTGGGTCATTGACCTGACCTGGAAGGTCAACCAATGACCTAGGACCTTAACCCTCGCCGGACCTATTGGTTTTCTACATACGCGCCGGCCGAGGGGGGGGGGGCGGGTACGACCCCCCCTCGCCGTTTCGCCCCTGGTGGAGCTAGCGCGTCGCGGAAAAAACGAGCGTGTGCGCCGTTACGAGACGCAGAGATTGGTACCCGATTTTAAGGTCCTAGGTCAACCGATGACCTCTGAGGTCAGGTCAAGTGCCCCAAGGTACGGTTCAGTTTTTGGTGAATAACTTCGCAAAAAACGGCCGCAGAGCGCCGATTTTGGCAGCATCGTGTTCGTCTCGCTCAGGCGCGTCGAATGATATACTTTTCGTCCGGGTCAGGTCAACTTGGGGTGTTGACCTCAGGTCAAGGTCAGGTCAGCACCTCCAGGTCACGAAGCTGGTCGAAAGGGGTCATGTCGCATATCATTCGATTCGGCAGGTCTTCCTGAGTCCATTGGTGGCTTTCCCGACTCGCTAGCTTAATTTGATCAAGAGTTATTGACGAAAAACTAATATGACCTTGATGACGTCATAAATGACGTCACGCAAGGTCAACATTGCAAAAGTGACGCATCTAACCTTGCAAGGAGTGCATAAAATCACGATTCTGTGTGCTTGAGATAGTTGGAGATCGTTCCCGGCGCCAGAATAGCAGTTTGAATTTTTCCCCATTGACTTATAATGGTGAGGTCACGAAAATGACCTGACCTCATATGACCTTTAGGAAAAATCCGAGATATACAAGTTGTGGGACTCATAATGGATACTAGATCCTGCAAGTTTCATTTCCCTGTGACATCTCCTCTGGCAGTGAGGGCGTTGCGAAGTTGCGACATCTGAAGACCGTGCAGAGGTTCACTTATGACGTCATAGGTCAGTGACCTGACCTGACCCAAAAATGCGGTTGGTGTCAAAAGATGCGGCTTGGATCAAAGGTCAGGTATGCCAAGTTTCAGCTCTTTATCGCCAGCGTGTTCGGAGCTATCGCGAAAAAACCCTATGGGGGGGGGCGGCACCCGCCCCCCCCCCTCGGCCGGCGAGGGTTAAAATTGGGTATCGTCGGCTTCCTCTCGTCACGGGCAACACGCTCGTTTTTTCCACGAAGCTCTAGCTCGATCAGGGGCCAAACGGCAAGGGGGGGGGTCCAACCGACCCCCCCCCCCCCTACACATTAGAAGCTGGCAAACGCCGCACACATGCGAGGGTTAAGGCGTCGGCCCGCGGTGCGGGTGGCTCTGTGTTCGATTCCCGGTGTCGCCCGTTCCGCGGGCGTCGTCCCCAGCTGTGTCACCAGGAGTGGGGTGGGCTCCCACGTTAGCCGTAGCCTAGGGGGAAGGGGTAAGGAAGAGGAGGAGCAGGAGCCTTCCTGTAAGTGGGCGCATCAGCCTGTTGGAAGGATGACGAAATAAATAAAAAATAAAAAATCGTTTATACCATACATAACTAAACGAGGGCTAAGAAAAAAATCAATTTTTCAACTTTTTATATTGGCATAAAAATGCATTTTTCTAGACGAACTTTGTCCCAGGAATCTAGTGGTGCCATTTGTTTTCACATGCGATGTTCAGAAGTGCCTCTAAATCACGAAAATGTTTATGACATCACCATGCCCTATGCATGTTGGAACTATTTTTTTACAATTTGGGGGTCAAAAATCAAGATAGAAAGTTGAAATTTGGATATCTAATGTTCTAATAGAGCTCTATATCATATATTCCGTTTTTTTGAAATTCCCAAAATTTTGCATTTTATTGGCTGTTTTCCAAAAAATGTAGTTTTTTTAATTTTTAGGGGTGAAAAACGCAATTTATGGAAATTCCGAGATAGTCATTTAAAGTACTTATTGATCTGTGTCAATTCATGTCCCTAATTTGCAGTTTGCTTTTAACCTCGATTTTTGGCGATTTTTTAAACATTTACCAATTTTGACTGAAAACGCCGTGTAGTTACATCACTAAAATCGATGTATCTAAAAAAATTGAGGAAAAAAATTCTTAAAAATTACCCAGGACACGTCAAATTGATGGGAGAGAAGGTATGCAAAGTTTCAAGTTGATAGCGTAAGCGGTTCATGAGTTATTTAAGAAAAACTGAGGGGGTCGGATCCGACCCCCACAGGCGGTCGCGGGATAATGAAATCAATCACTTGGTTTTTCTTTGAAACAAATAAAGATACCTTGAAGCAAATAAAACAAAACAACGCCAAAGGTTTAAACCTATTAGAAAAGGCAGTGTTGGTGAGACAAACACTGCCCTCGTATTCGATAAATAAATCCTGAAATATATCGCATTCATATTTCATGTTTCTACTAGCGTTATTCATCAAAACTCTTAGTTTAACTCATTTCATAACGCACACGTGATGCACAAGCCGCTTCCTCGTACGGTTGAACGTCCGTCGCCGGTGTAAATTTATAGCGTTCGCAGACGGAAGCAAACAACCCTATTGCTACCGAGGCGAGCTAAAAGGCATACGGCCTGGCCGTGCACTCGGGCTTTTAAACAAGCACCAACACCACGCAGGCCATCCATCTAGGAGTGTGAGGTCAGAGCTGTGTGTTATCTGATACGATAAACACCCCTATTGCAGATGGGATCATATTGTCCTATTGACCTTAGTTCGGCCAAAGATTTCTGCAGAAAGTATGAATCAGACGTGATCGTGTCGTTTGCACGTAGCTAGGATCACGCCATATCATGACAGAGAATTGATGACGTCACGCCATTGGCATCACGCCAGGTTTCGTGACGTCACGTGAAGTCAGTTGTGGTCACGCGGACTTAGTTGCCAGGTGCCTGTGTTGCCAGGCCAGGCGTACGGGTGTGAAATAAACATGAACTCACGCTCTTATGTTGATTGTTGGTGTCATGTTTCAGTATGCCATTATTGACATTTTCGAGTGAGCAGGCAGTGTTTTAGATCCAGAGGTGGTTCTTATGTGTGTGGCGATAGGTGGTGGCGGTGAAAAAGTTTAAAAAAAGCGTGTACTTACCGGTGGCGGTCCAATACGTAGCTACCGCTCCCACTGACGCCTCTGTGCGGGCATAGGAAGAGAGGAGAGAAAGAGAGAGAGAGAGAGAGAGAGAGAGAGAGAGAGAGAGAGAGAGAGAGAGAGAAAGAAAGAAAGAAAAAGAAAGTGAGAGAAAGTGAGAGAAAGAGAGAGGCAGACAAACAGACAGACAGACAGATAGACAGACAGAGAGGGTAAGAGAGAGAAAGAGAGAGAGAGGGAGAGAGAGAGAAGGAGAGAGAGAGAGAGAGAGAGAGAGAGAGAGAGAGAGAGAGAGAGAGAAGAGAAGAGAAGAGAGAGAAGAGAGAGCGAGAGAGAGAGAGAAGACAGAGAGAGAGCGAGAGAGCGAGAGAGAGAGCAGAGAGAGAGAGAGAGAGAGGCAGAGAGAGAGCGAGAGAGAGAGAGGGAGAGAGAGAGAGGAGAGAGAGAGAGAGAGAGAGAGAGAGAGAGAGAGAGAGAGAGAGAGAGAGAGAGAGAGAGAGAGAGAGAGAGAGAGAGAGAGAAGTACATGGACAGAATATGGGAAGGCAGGAAATAATTAATTAGTAAAAGAATTATCTCCCCGAGACAAAAAAAAACTTTTTATCAGTTACGATTATTATTCTATTAATATAGCATTATTATTCTATCGAGGATTATTCTATTACATTGAAAAAATCTTGAAACTAATAGCATTCTAACCAGTTCAATTGTTTTGTACTAATGTCCAGAAAAATGTACTACTATACAAAAACATGAGGCGAAATATTTCACGCCATTTGTACGATGTGAAGCGGTAATTCCCAGCGCGAGCTTCAAGCTTGGGCTGCGACCAACCTCGTGTAGCCATGACTGTGACAGTGACGGAACAGTAAAAATACCATACCGTCACAAACCTCCGTCACATTTTATGCGCTTATTCACAATATGTGTTCTCCACCGTGACCTTGTAGCTTGTTATGTCCGCACGTTCCTACTGCGATTGACAGCGCTGAACAAATGCTTTGCCGTGTAGATAAGCCTGAAGGAACATGCCACATGGTAGCAATTACGATTTCCGGTTTGTTTTCCTTCCGTTGTATTATTGAGATTAAACGGATAAAATGACCAATGAACTTTCATTGTCAGCCTTTTTCATTCACGCAGGTAGACTCTGCGAATATGGATGGACGGACATGCAGTGTTCGAATAGATGATAGTGCAGTGAATCCTCACCTTCGGATTTGGTCGGCCGTCTCCAGTACCGCGGGTGGCGCAGGTAGCCAGTGACGTCATCCACAGTCCAGTCGTCTCCAGTGACGTCACCGTCGCTCCAGCTGGGCGGTGTGACGTCACTGACTGCGTGCTCGGTGCGTTCAGTGATGGCGCGGGGCGGCGGCGGGGCGGGGTGTAGTGAGTTGGCGTGCCGCGCGGGGGGCGCCGTCTTCGGTGTGGCACCACCCCGCCAGCGACGCTCGAAGATCGTCAGCATTGTGCACCTGAGGGATCAGATGTGTGTTCGGGGGTCGAGCATTCGGACTAGACAATCTCTGATCAGAGCATGCATATACTAGATGCCGGCAGCGCTCGTGCGTTGCCTTGGGCCAGAATTGAAGGATCCATAGCCCAATGAAATGTGCATTATTTTGGAGGCCTTGCCTGGGACTACCATTGAACCGATTTTGAGGTAGATAGCTTAAAATTTCTTTGAGCCAGAGGACCTCACGTCAAAACGGTTTTCCGACCCCAGCACGTGCAGCCTGCACCCCTCGCAGACGGTGACCCCCCTGGAAACTGGTTCAAGGTGTTACCGATGTGTCCCGCCAGTATGGCTTTGCCCGTTACCTCGGGTTGACCTGTAGCCTTGACAAAAAATTTCGTGCCACCGAAACTTTGAAGCGGAATAGCATGTGCCACGAAGCACCGAGCGAACCGAGGCCAGCACCAAAAGTTTACCTCGCCGGAGACGAATCAAACGGTCCCACTTTCGTCCCGATCGGTCCACCCATTTTGACTCCAGGTCCAAAAAAGCTTCGGACAAACTCACTCACATACTCACATACTCACTGACAAACAGGTTCAGCCTTGGTTCAGCCGAACTTTTTTTCAGCGACCCACCAATGGGAATTTCCGGATGCAAAAGCATGCTATCGCATGCTTTTGATCCTCCAATTCTGGATTATGCTTTTATACGTGCGACATGGTCACATGTCGCACATGCACATGCGCTGCGGTGCGTATGAGGTGCACATGTGTTGCACATGTGAACGAAAAAAGGAATGCAGCAGTTGTAGTTCGTACCTACGTCGAACTTTCCATATCTCTGACCTAACTATTTGCGAATATCCAACAATTTAGAGGCTGAGGTCAAGGACATGATCTTCAAGATCGTCGAGCCTTTACCTTTTTCTTCAAATATCTTCTGGGCGCATCTCGACGGGAACAACACAATGACGGTAAAACCATGAAGGCAAGAACCTATGTATTAGAGCGATTTAAGAAATAGACTGTTAGTTAAAAAACTGTGCCTCTACCTATTTGGAAGTTTTGGGAGCTAAACGTTACGCGAAAATCAACTACTAAAAGGTTATTCATGACATTGTGCTCATGGGTCGAGTTATAAAAAAAGAGAGACTGTGATCTTGGAACATCGGTGATGATACGTTTCAACCGTCCAAAAACCAGTTCGCACCTTCTTGGGCATTTTACGGAATTTTCAAAACTCCTTTTCCTGTGTTGAGCACGAGTCGATTACTGTGGGGTTCCGGACGTGACACGCCCCCCTTCCCCTCCCCCTCCCGCTGGAACCCTTCTCTCCTCCTTGCAATATGCATAAGACTCAGCGTTCCGTCCACGGATGGGACGGGATACGCATTATATGTGGGTTTAACGTCGGAAGATATCCCGCACATTCTAAGAGGAATTCTCGGACTCTACACTCAGTTCCCCCTTCCGTAGAGAGCTCGTGTCTACCTACCTGTTGCACGGATCCTGCAGATGTGGCTGCAACCGACGATCCTTCCGATGCTGGCTCTGCCACTAGCTACCGCCGGCTCTGATACTTGCTTCGTCGGCTAAAGCAACACGACACCGACACTGCTTGGTCGTCGCTTCCGACACTCCTAAAAATACCGACAACGACACGATCCCTTCCACTGCAGACCGTTCTTATCATTTAGCACACTAAAAGCTAATCTGGCAGACCACTACTCTTTATAAATAAACTACGCTACATGCACCACTGCAGGCCGGCTGCAGTCGCGCCTGCCACACCACCCCGACCACCCCCACTGCCTGCTCCTCAGCCGACGACATCGGACGGCGGCGGAACCTCGGCGCAGCGCAGGCCACGTGACCTGTCGCGTGTGCCCGCAGTGGTGGCCGGCGCCGGACATGTGACCGCTCACGTGCCCCGCTGAGTGGGTAGCCCCTGGCGGCAGCGGACCGTCAGGATTGCAGTCTGCTGATCGGGGGTCTTGGCCGTCATGGAACAGCGGCCCGAGTGGGTGTTTGAAAGAGGAGTACCTACATCACGTAAGAGGAGTGCCATGCAACTTTGACTGATGTTGATATCAACAGTCAAAGTTGTTGTTTAGGTACATGGATAACAATTGAAACGTCTCGTCTCGAAAACTTGCGACGTCTGAGTCTCGACAAAAATGAAACAATCGTGTGTGTCATCATTTATGCGCTGTATGACCTGTGGCACTGATATTCCAAGGGAGAGAACTCTATTATTCCAAGGGTGAAACTCTTCGTAGAAATAAGGCATAAACAAAATAATGGCGCACTCCCGTTTCGTGGCCTTTGGCGCTCGTTGTTATACAAATACCGTTTATCATACATCAAGACCAAAGTTGTCCCTCGACCCTCCCCATCCAGTCTTTATTTCAGTACCTAACAACTGTGCGTGGCTGCCGCTCCATTCGCCGGTACCTGTGTTGAACGCAGAACGGTCAGCCGAGGTGCGGCGTCAGGGACACCTTGAGCGCTCCCTCGGTCACGCTGCGCCACAAGTGTATTTGCAGAAGAACTCACGTGCTGCAGAGCGAAGCGTGCAGATGGACATTATTCGACCTCGAGCCCCGAGCGGGCACGGGATGGGACATTATTCAGGCACTGACCAGGGTACATTGTCGTCCCCGATAGTCTAACGGGACTGCCCCCGGAGCGGCTCGCACGGGTCGGCACAAAGTCACATGGCCTGATCATAAAACGGTACGGAAACCTAACGGAAAATGGAAATCAAACCTACGGGTACTTTTCTGTGAACAGCTAACTTCACACGTATAGTTTTGCTTCTTCGGTTTTCTCATCGGAGCTGTATCAGATAAGGATATGATCCAAGTTTGAAAGTTATATCATATTTACTTGTAAAGAAGACGGAGACGAATTTCACACGACTTAACCCGGCACCGCCTGGGCTATTTCCGTACCCACGACACTCGACAGCCTGGGGGGGGGGTCGGATCCGACCCCCCCCCCCCTGTTATCTCGAGAACCAATGGTCGTATCGAGCCCCGCGAGGCGGCGTTCGAAAGGTCAAAGCACTCTTAAGATTTTAAGATTGAGGTCAACTTTCGGGTCAAGGTCAGGTCAAAGGTCAAATTCAGGGGTTTTGCATGATTAGGCTTACGGACAGCGGAATCGATAGCTGCCGCTCAAAACTCACCAAAAATGACCTCAAAGGCCTAGTGAAGGTACCATGTGCGTATAGGGGCCATACTAAGTACGGGTCAAGGTCAGGTCAAGTCACGAAAGGTCACGGTTTTCACTTTCTGCCACATGGGCGTGCGACACATGTTTTATGGCTTATTTTTCACGCCGAATCCGATGGTAATGGTTATATGTGACCCCAAGTCCATGTGCTGGTGATAAGTGTGCATTGAAAGCATAAAAAATCGTTTATACCATACATAACTAAACGAGGGATAAGAAAAAATCAATTTTTCAACTTGTTATTTTTGACATAAAAATGCACTTCTCTAGACGAGCTTTGTCCCAGGAATCTAGTGGTGCCATTTGTTTTCACATGCGATGTTCAGAAGTGCCTCTAATTCACGAAAATGCTTATGACGTCACCATGCCTTGTGCATGTTGGAGCTATTTTTACAATTTGGGGGTCAAAAATCAAGATAGAAAGTTGAAATTCGGGGCATCTTATGTTATAATAGAGCTCTACAATATATATTCCGGTTTTTTGGAAATTCCCAAATTTAGATTTTATTAGCTGTTTTCCAAAAAATATAGTATTTTGAACTTTTAGGGGTGAATAACGCATTTCATTGAAAATCCGAGATAGCCATTTTAAAGAACTCGTTGAGCTGCGTCTTTTAATGTCCTTGATTTGCAATTTGCTTCAAACCCTGATTTTTGACGATTTTTTTAAACATTTACCACTTTTTGACTAAAAACGCCATGTAGTTACATCACTAAAATCAATATATCTCAAAAAATTTTGTAAATTTTTCCTTAAAAATTGCACAGGAGACGTCAAATTGATGGGGGAGAAGGTATGCCAAGTTTCCAGTAGATAGCGAAAGTGGTTCATGAGTTATTCAAGAAAAACGGCCCCCAGGCGGTCGCGGGATAAGACACAAGACACCTCACTCACCAAGACACGTTTACAATGTAGCCCGAGTCCTTCAATACCATTTTTACGCAAAGAAAGCAAACGACTACGCTTGCCCGAGCGCACCCGTTGATTTTCTCGGGAATCTGAAGCCTTCCACTCGTGTGGTTATATCAATGCGGTGTTTACATAGGTATCCGGTTATATGTCCGATTACCGGTCATTGTCTATTGATAAAAATATCACAATGAGCACGTGCCAAATGGTGTCGGAGCGCACGTGCCCCTTGGGGACAGGGGGGAGTAGGGGGAAGGGAGTGACTTCCGCACGAGACATATAAACACCGTGTAAAGGAGCCGGAGCCGGAAGCGGATAATAGATCAATTTAATAGAATAAGACATTCATCTTATTTACCGTCACACAATCAAGGCACTGCTGGAAGCGCGGCATGATATTTCTTAGAAAAGTGCAATGACTTGCATCTTTTGTTCACTACAATCGAGTGCTGTTTTCTCAATCGTGCGGAATGTTTATCACATGGCAGCAAACATCCCCATTCGCCACATTATTCTTGTTCATGGCCTGTCTTCTAGCTAATGTCTGTTGGCTAGCAATGTAACGAACCCTCAATACTGACAATCAGCATATGCAAGCTCACACCTCCAACCATGCCACCTGACCCCCTCCCCCGTCCCGCCCCTCCCCTGTCCGTGCCCCGCCGCTTCAGATCAGGAAAGTCCCCCCGCTCCCCCACCGCTCTGCTCAACAGCGCAAACAATACGGTCACGCGCCACGGACGGCGTCAAACGTTCACACCCGACCACGAGCGGGTGACGAGGCATATCGCGTGACCTTGACAGTGACCTCCCCAGAAGGGTGGAGTCGGGGGTCAAAGGGCACGGCAGGTGTGTGCAGGACTGGCGTCTCGAGTATTCAGTGGGGTCTAATTTATGACACGAATGACTGTGTGTATAGCGTGCGTCGGCATAATGGCTGATGAAAAACCAACGGCTGATTAAGTAAGTGCGAAGTCTTTGGAATGTAGGTATTCAAACGAATTTCAGCCCAGACCCCAACGCATAGCAAAGAAAAGATTCACGAAACCCAACGGTCACCTCTGAATAATAAGCTGCATTAAACCGTGCGCCGATGGGTTATATCATATATGACCCACGTTCCACTGGGCATCGAGAATCTGCATACCCTGCTCCACCTTATTCATTTATCTATTCACTTGTCTGACAAATGAACAACAAACAAGCTAATTATCAATTAAATAATGACCTTGTACCTTGTACCTTGTAGAATACGAGCTGTTTGAGGTGTTCTACACCTGTTTTGCTCGCTCTTTGTTTGAATTTCTTAATCTTCTAAGTAGTTTAACCGTGATTTTTTATCATGTAGCAAGTATCATTGTTATAATTGGCTCTTGACTTCTAAAGATGCCTGTATTTTTCTCTTGCCCATAGCTTGTCTAACAATGATTTAAACTCGTTCAGTGATGGGGCCATTACAACCTCTGCAGGTAGAGAATTCCAGTCATTAATGACTCGTATGCTCCAGTGATTGCTTCTTGCCCTCGATTGGGCATGGGGCTTTGCGACCTTGAGCGGGTGACCTCTTGTAATTCTACATGTGGGCTCAGCAAAGAAGTTTTCCCTTGGCAGATCAAGCTTACTGTGCATTACCTGGTAGCATAATATAACATCGCCTCTTCTTCTTCTATATTGGAGTGAAGGAAGCCTTAGAATTCGAAGACGTTCACTGTACGGCAGATCACGTATGTGGCTTACCAACCTTGTAGCCCGCCGCTGGACCCTTTCCACCATCAACTGGTCTTCTTTATTGTGAGGTCCCCAGATAGCGTTGCCATATTCAAGCAGAGGCCTTACCAAAGTCTTGTATAGGAGCGGAAGGGTCTGTGAGTCGATGTTGGCAAATGATCTGCGTATTGCACCAAGCACACGGTTAGCTTTTTTAACTGCTTCTGCTGCTTGAGTTCTGAATTTTAGCATTTCATCAATTGTGACTCCCAAGTCTCTTTCTTCTGAAACTTGCTGCAATGGGACGTCATTTACAGTGTATTTTTGCTTGGCATTGTTTGTTCCTAGATGTAGGGACTTGCACTTTGATGTGTTAAATGGGAGCATCCATTCTTTTGACCACATCTCAAGAGCATGAATATCTGCTTGAAGTGACTGACATTCCTGTTTGGACCCAGAACAGCCATATAACTTGGTGTCATCTGCAAACATGCGAACCTTATTTTTCAGCATGGTGGGAAGGTCTGCAACGTAGAGAAGGAACAAAGTCGGACCGAGGACTGTCCCCTGCGGAATGCCACTAAGTACAGGTGCCCACTCAGACTTGACTCCATTTACAACGACTCTTTGTTTTCTTCTTGTCAAGAATGCCTCAAGCCATGCTAGAACTTGGCCTCTTATACCAAAACATTGAACCTTCTTTAGCAGTCTTTGGTGTGGAACAGAATCAAAAGCTCTTTGAAAATCACAGTAAATCACATCTACAGGACGTCCTTCATCTAGTTGTTTAGTCCAGTCTTCAAAGCATGTAAGAAGCTGACTAATGCAGGAACGACGTGGTAGGAATCCGTGTTGTTCGTCACATAGCTGCTCGGTTTCTTGTAAGTGTTTTATAATTGAATCTCGCACCAATGACTCGCAAACTTTGGATAAAACTGAGGTTAAGCTGATCGGTCTGTAGTTGCTTGGGTCATGCTTGTCGCCTTTCTTAAAGATAGGCACAATCTCCCCTATTTTCCAGTCTTCTGGAACCATCCCCTCCACTAAAGACTTGTTGATCAGGACACACAGTGGGAAGCTGAGTGGGCCTGCAAGGTCTTTAAGTATCTTCGGGTGCAAGCCGTCAGGCCCCGGTGCCGCCGACGGGTTCAGCTGACGAAGTTTGGCTTCAACTAAGCCAGGAGTAACACTGATGTGATCCAGTACTGAACCAGTCCATGTTGATGCAGGATGCGGTATCGATGACAGATCCTCAACCGTAAACACACTGGAGAACACTTGGTTTAAGATGCTTGCTTTGCTGCCATCATCTGTGATATCAGGCTCAGCTCCGTGATTCATCCGCAGGTTGGCAACTCTTGCCTTTGTCTTTGTTCTGCTGCTAACGTAATGCCAAAAGGCTTTCGGGTTTTCTTTTATATTTGCAGCAAGCCTTTTCTCGTATGAAAAACGAAGCGACCTAGTCAAGCAGCGAAGGTCATTTCGGGATCTGACGTAACGAGCATAACTTTCAGAGTCCTGATGAAGTACGTATCTGAGCCACATCTTTTGTTTCCTGTTCTTCATACAAAGGGCTTGTTGGTTCATGTATATGTTGCGATGTTGGCCAAACGACTTTTTGACCGGAACACAAGTGTCAATGGCATGGCGGAGTTTCGTAATAAAACAATTGTAAAAAGCATCAGCGTCGATAGAGTTCATCTCAGTCCATGATGTACTACACAGCATTGCCGTCATTTTTGGCATGTCAGCCTTATACAAGACTCGCTTGTTGACAGAACTACGTTCTGGGGCAGAGTAGCATTCAAGCTGAAATTCCAGCATCACATGGTCGCTGCAACCCAAACCAGGTCTCGTTCCCAACCATTTGACCATATTCTCTTCATTGGAAAACACTAAGTCGAGCTGACTTGGGACAGTTCCTTGCCGAAACCTTGTAGGCTGCAGCACGTGCTGGTAGAGATAGCAATCTCTTACGACTTCTAGAAATTCGTGACTGTAATGGTTGCGTGGAGCTCTGCTGAAACCTAATTCCCAGTCTATATCACCCATGTTGAAATCCCCCACTATGAGCAAGTGAGACGGATTCGCTGCCTCTACTTCCCGAAATAGTTGATTGAGCTGCTTGGTGTTTGATGCATCCGTCGACGGACTTCTATAGATGCAGCCTACTAGCAATGTATCATTGCCAGCAAGTCCAACTTCAATCCATAATTGCTCTCTGAAGTTCGTCTTCGGATAGTATTCCCCGACTTTGAGGTGTTCGGCACAATATATCATGACACCTCGGAGTCCACTGGCTCCCAGATCAGACTGGGCTGGAGAGAAATTCAGGTGCATGGTGTATCTTGGGATTTGAAGAAAAGCAGGATTAATAGGTACAGTTTGCGCTTTAGGGATAACTTCTGAAATACAAATTATGTCCGGCTCATTTCCTGCGATTTCCATGCACAGCTCATCCCTTTTGTTAAGAAATTGATCCGCATTTGTGTAAAGTATATGGATCACTTTGCCGAATGATCTGGTTTTACTTGACTGACATCATAAGGCACGAGGACGACTTCCATCAGCAGCGCCAGCTATGCACCTTCCAGACGACGTACGTGACACTTCATCACAGTTAGAAGGATGATCACTTCCCATCGATGTTGTCTGTCCATTGGTGGTTCTTGGTTGGAGCTGTCTTCTCGTACTGCTTTGTACAATTCTTCCTCTTTGAATGACTAGGTTCAGCTCGCCACCAGCTCTCCTTCGGGCTAGCTCATCACGCAGTTGTTTTCCCTCCGCTCGCTCCTGTGCTGACAGATCTGGGTTAATGAATATTCTTGGAGAAAACCTGCAGTGCTTCAGCTGACTGGCTTCGCGTAGAATATCCCATTTGTTCGCCTCACTCTCGAGCGTCACTATTAATAGTCGTGGCCTAGTGTCCTGCCGCTTACCAGCTCTGAAACACCGCACGGGTGTCACGATCAGATGCAGCTCTTCGCGTACGACCTCGGTAAATTTGGTCAGATCATCTTTCATTCTGTCTCTGCCAGTCTCGCTTGTGGATTCCGGCAAGTTGAAGACAACCACGTTTTTCTTTCGCTTTTCTCTATCTAGATGCTCATCAAACATCGCGACGATCTGCTGCCGTGTCGCTGCAGAATCCTGCTCTTGTGTCTTGGAAATGTCCTGCTGGGGTCGAGTAATCGCTTTTGAACCAAATGCGGCACGTTCATCAGCTGACTCTTCCGTTCCCATGCGATGTACGACGTGCGAAGCTGGTCGTTGAGTGGTCTGTTCCAGGCGGCCTACCTGGGCCGATAAGTCACTTACATTTGCAGACATCTTGCGCAGCTCATTTGTCATGGACTCTAGCCTCGCGCCCGTAACGTCAACAACGGCGTCACAGAGTCCAGACACCTGGGCGATGCAGGAGAGCTGACTGTCGTTGTGTTTTTCTATCATATGCTCCAGCATTTTTGCTTGGCTTTGCACTACTCTTTCTAGGTCTTGCTGTCCGCGCTGGATAGCCTCAGCTACCTTTGCTTGTGTTTCTATAGCAATCTTCAGCTGATGTTTGTGATCGTGCAGAGACTGACTAACAACGTCCATCTCATCTATCAGTGCCACTGTTGGAGTTAACTTCTTTTCCACTTTGCAATCACGTACTTTCTTCTCCACTTTCGTGACAGGTGTGTCCAAAGTGACTTTGCAAGTATCGCAAATCATGGGTCCATTTTCTGTGTCAGGAATGTCACAAGAAGTCCCAACACTGATCATGTGCTGCCTTATCTTGTTACGGTGTTTTCTTCTGCTGACACGAACCCACTCGTTACTGGATGGGTCGTACCCAGAGACTGAGCAGTCAGAATCTTCAGTTCCGTCTGAACTGATCATGGTATTCCCCCGTTGACGTCAGAAGAGCGAAGGGAGTGCTTAGCTTAAAGCACGCGATCAACAACGAAAAATCGAGCAATGTAGGCGAGACTCGACAACTCGAAATTGATGAATTTTACTGAAAATATTATACTTTTCAAAAGCTTATATCTTTATCACTTTACATATTCAGTCATTCAAAATATCACAAAATTATGCCACGTTAAATTACGAGCACTTCGATATCATTTTTTATGCACAAAGCTGATCAGTTACGCGAAACGGGCAAAAGATAACGGGACGATCAAAAACACGTCCGACCTTTACCGTATTGAGTAAGTAGTGACCGTATTGATAAGTAATGACGACCGAATATTTTTTTAGCGGACCTAATTTAACACCGCATTGGTATATTGCTACCATATGATATAAGAACACCTTATGCCCTGTTTTGTAGTCTAATATATCCACAACAGGCGAGGGCAGACTACCAGATAAGGTGCGTGATGCAAAGATCCTCTCCCTTGGGCGTACGGGTGATCAGACCCGGGCCCCGCCTCAGCCAGTGGAAGCAGTGGAGCACGATTATAAAATCGTCTGCGATGCAATAAATATAACAACAAAAATATAATGAAACGTCCTATGTATTGTCGACAAATACATGAGCAGGTCTAAGTAAGTCCAAAACACAGTCAATGTAGCAATATATATCAAAGGCAGACAAATGCATGAAGTATCAAACCGAGATCACATGCACGCCGCGACAGCATTATCCTGAGATACACTAACACTAGCAGCCTCACACTTCAGGAGCCTACAGCCAAACGGTGCAAACACTGATTGTGACGCGAAAAAAAAAAGAGAAAAAAAAAACTACAGTTCCGTAGAAACGGACGCACTTTTCAGAAATGCTAGCGGAACAGTCAAAGTGCGTCATAAGCTCGTGCCATAAGACTAAATCGTCGATAGGTCCGCAAGACTAGGCCCATTCGTTTACAAACGAAATATATAGCGCACCCAGGCAGAGGGTATACAGAGCAGTTTCGAAATAATCATATCCTACTGTCGTCAATTAAATAGGCCACTCAGTAGAGGCTACACGGCTGATGAGACTGCGCCCTCGGCAGAGGCTACAAAGCTGTTCGTAACTAAATGCACACGGGGTATACCGTGTGAACTCGACAGTACTCGACAGGCTGACGAGACGGTACTCTTGGCAGAGGCTTTTCTCAAGAAGACAGCACTGAGCACTCATATCAGAAACTACAAAACCCACAAATCATCACACGTCCACTTCTACATACTAGTATCACTTATATCCACATGACGTGTCCACCCACGTCCTCCACACGTGTCCACATGATGTGTCCACCCGTGTCCACCCACGTCCTCCACACGTGTCCACATGCGTCCACCTCCCGTGTCCACCCACGTCCTCCACACGTGTCCACATGCGTCCACCTCCTGTGTCCACCCACGTCCTCTATACGTGTCCACCTGTGTCCACCTCCCGCGTCCACCCACCTCCACACGCGTCCACCTCAGGCGTCCACCTCTATGGGCGGCCCCGTGAACGGCATCTTGCAGAAGGGACACAGTCCGTCTCCCTCCTCGTGGATTTGTCTCAGACATGCGGCACAGGCGCCGGTGTGGCCACAGGGCCGAGCAGCGGCCCGGCGGACGGCACGCCACGGCCGCAGGCACATACGACACTCCTGGAGGGGGGGGGGGGGACGGTACAGTGACAGGCACATACGGCACTCCCGGAGGGGGGGGAGAGACGGTACAGTGACAGGCACATACGGCACTCCTGGGAGGGGGGTACAGTGACAGGCACAGGCGGCACTCCTGGGGGGGGGGGGGGGAGGCGGTACAGTGACAGGCACATACGGCACTCCTGGGGGGAGGGGGAGGGGGGGGGGAAGGGTCAGAGTGATATACGGTACAGTGACAGGCACAGACGGTACAGTGACAGGCACAGACGGCACTCCTGGGGGGGGAAGGGTCAGAGTGATATACGGTACAGTGACAGGCACAGACGGTACAGTGACAGGCACAGGCGGCACTCCTGGGGGGGGGGGAAGGGTCAGAGTGATATACGGTACAGTGACAGGCACAGACGGTACAGTGACAGGCACAGGCGGCACTCCTGGGGGGGGGGAGGGGGGAGACGGTACAGTGACAGGCAGAGGCGGCACTCCTGGGAAGGGGGGGGGGGGAGACGGTACAGTGACAGGCACATACGGCACTCCTGGGGGGGGGAGGGTACAGTGACAGGTACATACGGCACTCCTGGGGGGGGGGGGGAGGGTACAGTGACAGGTACATACGGCACTCCTGGGGACGCAATTGGGGCTCGTATAGAATGCTGCGCTTAGTGCACATACAATCTTTTAATCAATTGGGGTTGATTCTGACAGATGCTAGATATTCAATTAAACATACAAGTCGTTAGTGATTTAATCGGCGACTGGTAAAAGAGAGCCAGCTCAGCGTATATATCGCACCCTGTAATTGATTTTGAAAACTCAGCATCATAAGTAGAGGTTTGTGCCGAACTGGAGATTCCCGAGCTCTCCCAATTCCACGCCGGCTTGGCTTCGGAGCCGCAACAGGCGGCCGAGGTCAATGTCACCGCGAGGGCGGCGGCGGATTTGTTGCGCCCGGGCACCCCCAGCTCGGCACAAAGTTCCACCTTTGTTCAGAATCATAAATCATCTCTGCCTCTCCAGTTTAAAACTACATCTCTGTAGGAAGTATCATTAGAATATATGACCTTCTCCTCGGAAAATGACCAAATGAATGAAAATGATTATTTATTGATGAATTGATGATATTTCGGTCACAGACCTTCGTCTAAATCGAATTCGTTAAATCGTACAAGGCAAAAGTAGCGAGTGAAATGCGCAACAATTGTCGACTGCCTGTAGAAAGTGAAAAATTCAAAATTCGTTTGTCTCGTGGTCGTCATACAGGGCTAACATCACATTTCGAGGTTCGCATCGCTTTCGATCGTAAAAACGTATCGATATCAAATCGTACAACAAAATCGAACAACAAAACATCAACAAAACATCTGATCATACACCCTAAAGATACCATGCACTTAAAAAGCAAAAATATAGCTACGCCCTAAAAGGTACACATGAGCTATCACGAATGCTATCACATAAAAGCTATCACATGAGCTATCAGCGATGCGAACCTCGAAATGTGATGTTAGCCCTGTATGACGACCACGAGACAAACGAATTTTGAATTTTTCACTTTCTACAGGCAGTCGACAATTGTTGCGCATTTCACCCGCTACTTTTGCCTTGTACGATTTAACGAATTCGATTTAGACGAAGGTCTGTGACCGAAATATCATCAATTCATCAATAAATAATCATTTTCATTCATTTGGTCATTTTCCGAGGAGAAGGTCATATATTCTAATGATACTTCCTACATTTATCATGCTCCTCGCAGCAGCTCTCAACGATATACGAAACTACATCTCTGTAATTTAATTGAACAGCGTGGCAACATTACTGAGCCATTCCACGGTCACCCACCGATGTCGGCGCCGGTGTCAGCTCCACGGGTCGGGCGTGCTCCTCGCCCCTGGCCCGGCAGACTGCGGCCGCGGCGGCCGCCGCCGCTGCCGCCACACCGAGCTGCGGAGCTGGGTCGTCACCAGAGTCCAGCTCCTGCGGGGAGGAGGGGTACTCTTAGGTGGGCCGGTAGCTAGGGGAGGTGATCGGTCTGCTACATCGACGGTTATCGACGGGAAATTAGCTGATTAGACGTCATAAGCGTTGTTCGCAAAGTCAAACTCATAATATATCGGGGCTCATTACTAATGCGACCCTCCCCCACTACTGACTTCAGAGATCATACTCCTTCAATTATGGACAAATGACTAAAAATGTGCCGCAAACGGCCTAAGAGAACCGTTTTCGGTACTCCCTCTCACCAATTAATACGCACATCAACAGTCAACACTTCCACCACAGCATCAGACCATACAGTGACCAGGAAACCAGCAGTGACCATACCAGTTCCCATCACCTCACCTCACCGCACCCACTCCTCTCCACACCGGACCCACTTGTCCAAAGACCATCCTCTCCAGAGCCTCTATCCGCGCCGCGAACAGCACGGCAGCTGCGTCCAGATAGGCGTCCAGCGTGCAGAGTCCCTGGTCCACAGCGAACGAGAGCTGCCGGAGTCCCTCGCGGGCAGGGTCCGGGTCGGCGGCGGCGTGCGGAGAGCCCGACCGGCCGGCGCGGTCTATTACCTGGGGGGGGGGGGGAGGGAGAGATTTGAGGTAAAGTAATCTTGGATTTGAGGTTAGGTGAGACTGAGAGCCTAGGCAGAGAGGGATGAGGCAGTGGAGCACGGCGGAGAACAGACATGAGGGAGATGGATGAAAAACGAATAGGTGTGTGGGGTGCGATAGGTGACAAATAGAGCACGAAGAAGTTACCGGCGCAAGCAATGAAAAGAAATTTTTCGAAAGAGGCCTCGATGATATTTTGGCTGAAGAGAAAAAGGAACAGTTGCGGCCTGCCGCGGGGCTTGCCACGGCGAAACGCAACACACAAAAACACTGCATATTCAAAGCGGGACTTGTTTGAATAACTTTTATCAGTTTGTCACAAACATGGCCAATGCCTATTCCATTTCACAGCATTCGCCAGTTCCTTTCGTTCCGTCCCGCTCCGCACTCTATTCTAAATGCATCCAATCATGCTGTCCTGTCCTACCTTGTTCTAATATACTTCATCCCTCCGCTCCCTCTCTCGTTCCCCTCCTCACCGCGTTAATATGCCGGACGAACATCCAGAAGAGCGGGTGTTCGATGAGGATCTGGCCCTGCAGCTCCGTGTAGAGCCCCTGGACGTCCGTGGTAGAGCTCAGAGAGGGCGAGTCGAGCTCCGAGAGCCGGTCGGCCGGAACTGAACGCCAGCGCTGCTGTAGGTACTGCGTCAGGCGGACGGTGCCGGGCTGGGACTCCAGCGGCTGTGGGGAGGGGGAAGGGGTAGTTACTGACACTACAGGACTACTGTGTCAGGCGGACGGTGCCGGGCTGGGACTCCAGCGGCTGTGGGGAGGGGGAAGGGGTAGTTACTGACACTACAGGTACTGTGTCAGGCGGACGGTGCCGGGCTGGGACTCCAGCGGCTGTGGGGAGAAGGAGGAAGCGCGGGGGTGTTACCGAAGGTCTAAGCTGTTACACTCGCCTCAAACGGGTCACGCCAGAATGAACATCAGGCAGCCGCGGCTGCGCCGACACAAATAGAATAGACCAAAGGCGTTTTTATAACCGTGCGTGGATCAGATTGAGATAGATAAACATATATCAAATAAGCTGTAAGAAGTTTGCAAAGCGAAAAATATTACGACAAAAGATACACTTCACGTTGGTAAAGAGGGGGAAAGGACTTCGTCAGCGAGTGAATATTGTGCAAGTAAGAGTGAGCGTGACAACAATTGATCACAGTGTGCAAGTAACAGTCCGGCCTCTACGCACCTCAGCGGGCGCGTTGTACAGCAGGTGGCCCCAGGCCACTTCCAGGTGTCTCTCTGCCACCATGGGCATAATGAGCAGGCTGCGGGCCCACCGGCCGAGCTCCGTGTCTCCCTGGGACCGGGTGTACGCGGCCTGGAGGTCACAGGCGCGGAGCTGGAAACCGAAGGGCGTGGTCAGTGGGGGATAGATACGCTCGAAATGGCAGGTGTGTAGTTGGCTTTCCGCCTTTGTGATTGACATTGAGAGCATGAGAGCCAGCACAGCTAGAAGACTCCAAACCAGGATATGCGGGAATAAAAAAGAAAATGTTTCATTTCAACAGGCTCGCAAATCGTTGCGGTGTTCGGCATGACCTCTTCCATATTCTAATAACGATTTGTACAAAATTGTAGCAAACAATTACCTGATAAAATGCCACCCTTCTATCCACTGCAACAAACCCACTACCACTTCATTCACACATTACTTCCCTCCCCCCCCCCCTACCGTACCTTCTCCAGGACGGCTCGCGCGTAGTGCAGCCAGCAGCTCTCGCGGGGCACGGCCGGCCAGACAGCGGCCGCCGCCTCCCGGAGCTCCGTCTCACTGTCCGGCACCACCAGCCGTACGGCCGGCCGGCCCAGCCGCTCCGCCATCCTCCTCAGTAGCTGCTCGTACAGAGACCAAGCTGAGCTCGTCATCAGGACGTACCAGCCGGGCTGCCGGGGCCCGGGTCCACAGCTGACCAGTACCACTAGAAGCTGGGTGAAGAGACGCGGTACGAACCGGCGGAGTACCTCAGCCTGGAGCTCCAGCGGCTCGGAGCTGTCGGCCGCAGAGTCCAGCACAGAAGGCATGTGGAACGCGATAGCAGTCTGGAATATAGAGACGCGGAGGTCAGAGGGGCTGGTGAGCCGGGGAGGGAGGTGATGGGTGCCGTATCAGAACAACTGTAGAAACTGAGACAGTCACTGAGCGTCGATTTCAGTTTGGATTGATTCCGATCATGGAACAGAAACAAAATAGCACCCGCCAAAACTATAGAACTATAAACAAAGATAGGATATACCACTGATTGCTATTAAATTATTATGCATAAGACCCAAAAAGCTACAATAATATACCTCGTGCAACTCCCAACGCAAGTCAGCCCCTAAACCACCCACCCGCCCCACCAAGCGACCCCTCCGACCTTCCCCACACTCCACAGCACTCACCTCCTCTCCGACACACAGACTGAAGGCGTGGTGTCGCCTCTGCATCTCCCCTGCGGCCGACAGGGCCTCCACGGCGTCGGCTGGGGTCAGCGGCAGCGCCGGCGCCTTGGCCCGCCGCCGGTGCCGGCGCAACATCTGTTGTACGGAGGAGTAGGAGAGCGAGGGGCCCCCCGCGTCCGCCACGGCCGCACGGTAGATGTCCAGGTTGGAGCGCTGCCCGCCGTCCGTATTGGCCATCTGGCGCAGTCGGTTCGCCGCGGCCATCGCCTGTGGGGCATGATGATGATGATGATGATGATTTGGGGGTGTAGGGCGCCCGAACTGCAGTGGTCATTGGTGTCCAAATATCATATCACAAAAAACTCAAGTAAAAAAATTAAAGCAAGGGGAGAAAAACAGCAATCTGTCAGAGATACTCCCAATTATTCAACAGCTGATACACGGCCTGGGCGGTACAATATCTCCCATCTCCCCCACCCGGTGGCGACCCTCCTCTCCCCGTCTCCTGTAGATCCCCTCCCTTCCGTCCCAGTCGGTACCCCGCTCTGTGACCTCACCTCCAGTTCCTTGCCGACCGTTTCCGGGGGATGGTTATGTGGCCGACAGGTAGTGAGCTCTGTACCGCTGGTCCGGGCAGAGCCACTGCACTGGGCCGACTTCGTAGCCTGAACACACCTGGCGACAGGACAAGGGCAGGACATTTAACACACTCCACGACTCAACTCTCACCAAGGCACACTGCACTCTAAACGACTCAGCTCTTGCATGGCAGAGAAAAGGCACAGGGCACATGTGACATTCAGGATACAGACTCCGCCAGGGGCAAGGGTGTAACCCAATTTGAACGATTCAGCCCCTGAATTCAGATACTATAGTTTGTTTATTGGGGCTTTAGGACGCGCCGACTACCAAGGTCATTTAGCTCAGATATTATAGCATGGACAGCGCGTGCTGGATTATGGATATATTACTGTATGAGCCCGAATGGTCACTTGTCAACCGGATAAGTTACGATGGTGGGGTAAAGTCTTATCAGGTGACATTACGCGATGCATTACGATAAAAATAAACGATAGGCGATGATCTTAAGCATTTTTCATGTATCATTTATTGCATTGACCAAATCATGAGCATATTTGCTGCGGAGAAGCAGCTACCCGAACCACAACAGCATATTGAAATGGGGTCCAAACTCCAAAGCGACAGCTAACAAATGCGCGGGCCGCGGAGACAGGATAATTAGGACCTGGGGCACCTGACCACCAGTACCGCACTTTAGATTTGTGACGCTGACGGGTCCCAGTGCCCCAAAATGTGCTGATTTGGGTTAGCAACAACATCCAATTGAATACAATTTTAAACTTTAAACAATCAAACAATTTTAAACATCTCTAATTTCTAAAGCAATTTTTCACTCAATTTTTACCGAGAAAAATATTTGCATGGATGGTCGTTTTACCTCGTACAGTTTGCTACACTTAAATATAAATACATGCCATTGATCCCTTTTCCGCTCTTTTTTAGCCCTATCTGACTGGCAACCTTCCACTCTCATCCCCTTTTGGAGATGAATTTCCATTCCGACACCCCAGCCAGAATACAGTTATGGGCCACTGACGGTGCCCTGCAGCACACCTGAGGAAGGTGACGGCTCCGGTCCGCTGCCTGGGCGAATACACGTGCCCGTCGTCAGCGATGAACTTCCGCGTGCCGGCGCGACGACCCTCCACGATCCGGAAACCCATCACACGGCGAGCTGGAACGGAGCAATCGATGAATACCGACACCCGACCAAATACCAGTCAAAACCACAGGGAAACAAAAAACACCGAACCAGCTCGGAAATTGAGAGAAATATCAACTTTTTGCCATTTCAGAACTTCTTAAACGTTAGTAAGCATTCACAATACCACCAAATAATTAAGATTTAAATACCAAACACCAGCTTGGTTGGTGGTGCTGGCATCCATTTGACATCTCCAGGCCTAATAAGTAAACAACACATAATCATAGTCAACCTACATGATGCCTGCTGCTGTAACAAATTATATCTTACGCCATGTACAAATGAGAACACATTAGCCTGCCGGCAAGAGGACAGCTTTTTGAAATTATAAGAACCAAAACACAGCGCATGAAATAAGACGCATCTGACATCCCACTGCCTCGAGCGCAGTAACAGACCTCTATAAATTGCTGACCATAAGTGCACCGGTGAATTCATTTGGTGAAACCAGCTCCCCGTAACTACCTTCTACAACTGAAGCGTCCATCAATTCACCAGCCATGGCTTCACCTACGATGGTTTACCTGTTTACCAGATCCTGTAGATTTACCTGACGTTACCAGCGCCGTGTATTTACCATCTGTTACCATTGCCCGTGCATTTACCTTCTGCGGGCGGCCGCGCTGGCAGGCTTCTCCGGCCCCGACGAGAGGCCGAGACCCGCGCAGCATTCGATTCACCAGCTGGGAAAAACAGCCTCAGTGAATACAAGCCACACAGAAACTACCAGTATATCAGGATACAAGTGCCGCGTGAATACAGAATGAAAACTGCGCAGTCTTTCGCAAATCCACGGCGTCATCTAACAAATTCATGTTCTATAGAAGATTCCCTTGTCTTTCAAACATTGTCAGATTTCAGCAGAAGGAAACACTCGACAAAGGTTGATGAACAAAAATGTTATTCAATTAATCTTGTAAAGAAGTTCATAAAATTATAGATCGAACTAAGCGGCCTGGTCTTTGCCCACAAATCACTACCTGCGGAGGGACTGGACGTTCCGTCGCCGTCCGTGGCTGGCTGGCCTTCCTGAGAAAATCAGAGATATAAAAGTCAGTAACTGCGTTTTACGGGAATAAATCCGTAAAAATAGTCATCAAGGAAAAAATATCAAATAAATATTCAAGCTAGCCTCCATTTAGATACCTAACGGAAGGTCGTGTTTATATCGTTATATCGTTCATAATTTCTCACTTTACGAAGCATGCAGACGCGAGAGCTTCCATCTAAAGGTGAGTGTATTCAATAATTAGGTAGCATCCTAACAATATGGGGATCGACCTCGTTTGGCTTTTTCTCTACGAATTCTACCAGACTTACCGCGCCTTCCCCGCCGGTCAGCGCCGCTCCCTGGCGTTCCTCTAACCGCTTTCGATGTCGGACCAGCATCTGCCGCACGGTGCCGAAACACAGCGTCGGGGCGTCCGGCCCCGCCTCGGCCTGCACCTTCTCGAATATCTCCCGGTTGGTGAGATGGTCTCCTTCGCGGTCTACCAGCTCCCGCATCTTGACAATCATATCGGCGGCCTGGAGAGGTAGTTGAGGGATAGCTGATGGACATATAAAACAGATGAGGGACAGTAAGGACAGTCCCCATATCTTCACAGTGCAGAAACGCCTGGGAGAGGAGAGCTATGATTGGGAAATAGCTGATGAATAGATGGATGACACTATTACACGCCGGTCGTCAGGTCAATCTTGTCTTGGTCCAGTTAAATGACAGTCCAGGGTAATACAGTTGTAGTTGAAGACAGACTAACAACAAATGAGGGGAAGTCGAGGGTTAGTTCAGGGACAGACACACAACAATTGAAGGACAGATGAGGGCTAGTTGAGGGACAGACTGAGAAAAGTCGAGAGAGTCAGTTGCAACGGAAAGGCCAATGGCAGATAAGGGACAGAAGAATGCTAGCTGAGGAGGAACGGTCAATAGACATCGTCCCTGGAGCTTCATCCCTAGTTGTCTGGTAAGCGGCAGGTTTATCCCACCATGATTGACTAATAATGGACATAGGGCACAATATCTAACTACCCTGAACTTACTAATTTCAATGCGTCGCGGTTCATTACTCCGTTCTATAACGGTTTGTAATTAATCAGTTGAAAAATTCCCAGTCTATCTCTCTATATAATACACATGTACTGCGGCGTGCGTCGCGTCGGTCTTCCGCGCCGCCCTGCCGTAGCCTCTGTGACCTGTAACCTCTGTGACCTCTGTAGTCTGTGACCCCTATGACCCTTGTGACTGTGACCTCTAACCTCTGTGACATGGTGACCTCTGTGACCCCTGTTATCTCTGTGACCTCTGTGACTTGATGACCTCTGTGACCTCACCTGTATCTCTGTGTCGACCGTCTCCGGCGGGTGGCTGTGAGGAAGTAAGGTGGTGAGCTCGGTACCGAAGATCCGGGCAGAGCCATTACACGACCGCACCTTCACACACCTGGGGACACAGACGATTAGTCACTGAGCCAGCCCCTTTGGAAGTCGATGTTAGGATATTGAGAGGTTATGGTCGGATCAGACTGATGACCGGTACGCCCCAGCCGAGCTAGTCTATGGGAAATGCACCAGGGGTGGTGGGAACTGGAAGCCGCCTCGGCACCCAAGCAGTATGACTGATGGGGGGTTGGGACCTTCAGTCACCGGCTGCCTGGGGGGAGGGGGCTATATCAGCACCCGGGAAGCATGACTGATTGGGGGAACCTTCAGTCACCAACTGTCTGGGGGGGGGGGGGGGGCTATATCAGCACCCTGCGGAGAGTATGACTGATTGGGGGACCTTCAGTTACTAACTGTATGATGGACTAGGTAGATAACTATCAGAGTAGCGGGTGGTGGTAGGTGATAGAGATGTCAATCGGATACCAACTTTTTGGTATACCGATACCAGTATAACGCCTTTTGGGGCGACTAACGGAGCGAGCGAGAGGGTGAGCCTTGCACGTGCGAAATTTCGAGGGGGTACCTCCAAGTGACTTGTGCACGGCACCCTACTAACCGGTCTCTAGCGACGTGCCAAATTTGGGCACAATCGGCCCAGTCGTTCTCGAGATCTGGAAGCGGCACCCTGCAAGTGCGCACGTGCAAAATGGGTCCCAACTGACTTGTGCACGGCACCCTACTAACCGGTCCCTAACTGTGTACCAAATTTGAGCGCAATCGGTCGAGCCGTTCTCGAGATCTGGAAACGACCCCTGCACGTGCGCACGTGCAGCAGCACCCCAACTCTGGCACATGGATATGCAGTGCCTAGTGGGTGCCTACCTACATGCCAAATTTCAGCGCAATCGGCCAAGTAGTTACCGAGACATTGCAACAATTACAAAACGGACACCTCTTCGTTTTGCACGTGGCACGTGCATAAGGGGTCACCCACATGCATCGGGAATAGTCCAATACTTGGTAGAAGGAATGAAGCTACCCTACAAAAATTACCGCGTGTAAATCGGTCAAGTGGTTGCTGAGATATAAGCGTCGCAGAATCGTGACCACGGCCGGCCGGCCGGCCGGCCGCTCATACTCAGAAATTTCCGTTATTCTACGTAAGACTCCGCTCGCTTCGCTCGCTCCGTAACCAAACCGATACCAACTTGGTTTTTGGTATTTCAATCGTAATGTGTTTGGTATTTTGTTGGTATCATAAACCCTCACTTATGTATACGAGGCTAAGAAATCGGTAAAAAGTTGGTATTTCCCTCATTTTCCCAAGTTGGTTTGGTTTCGGTATTTTCCCGTGGCTTTGGTTGGTATTTGGTTTGGTATCGGTATTCCGATTTTCCGTAATTGACATCACTAGTAGGTGAGTGGCGATACGGATGGGTATAAATTCTAAATATAATTACATGGATAATCAGATGTATGTGCAGTCCACAGCTTAGGTAATGTGAGGTTCTGCCAATAGCAACAGATGGCTTTGACTGACGATTTTTAAAAACGGAGTGATCAAAAGGAAAACAGCAAATTATAAGGGTGCAGCTGCAAGGATAGCTAAATTTCAAATGTCATGGTAGTTCTGACAAAATGTTCCTAAGATACAGATGCAAAACTCAACCACCACTGACACCTCACATTATTTTAGCAGTCGACTGTACACCGGCGGCATACTATATGATTTATTGCGGTACGTTACGTTGACCTCTGTAGCGTACCTCGTATAATTCCCTAGCAGGTACCGAACGCACCTCAGATAGGTGAACGTACTAAGGCGCTGCTTGGGCATGTACACGTGGCCGTCGTCGGAGACGATTTTCCTGCTGCCGGCGCGGCGACCCTCCGTGACCCGGAAACCCATCACGGTGCCCGTCTGTCCCCCTGAAATAGAGCAGAATGTTATTGACCACATATCTTGGTGCCGGTCTGACCGTTTGAAATAGAACAGGTTGTTAGTGACAACATAGTTACTAAACTGTCAGCCTCACCGTCTGAAAAAAGAATAACACATCACAGCGTCGATGTGAGATGTGCCATTTTATGACGTGATTGTTATAAATGACACATCATAGCGCCGGACTAACCGTACGAAATCGAACGGATTGTTATCAGAAATAGGTAAAGCACAGGATAAGCTTGGTAGTACACCGTTCCGTGCTTCTATCCTCAGGATACTGAAATCCTTCTCCTCCACGCCGCAACCCCCTTCCGGGCTGGACAGGCAACTTTATCTCATGCGGGCTGCTCCCTTGGAGCGGCACCGCTGCTCCCGAGGGAGCGCACCCCGAAGCCGGGTGCAGTGAGTACCTTGGGGCTGGGTGGCCTGTCCTCTGGACGGGCTCAGCCCCGGTGACTCACTAGGGTGCCTGTTCAGACCAATGTCTCCCCCTATATACTATCATCCTCCCGGCTCTGAAATGGCCCCATTGGACCGAAAGGGCCTAACCCAACAAAACAAAACAAAAAACTTGGTAGCAGGTATCTGAAATAAAACGTCTCAAAGGACACATACACGAAGGCCTGGTGTCCTTCGACGAGTTATGAAAGCTTAGCTATGCAAAAACAGTTATAAGACAAAGGGTTATGAAAAAAGGCCCGGTGACCTTTACAGTAAAAGTAAGTCAGTAAAATAACTATATAACAATACGGAACCAGCCGTTTCAATAGCTGGGTTTGCTCAGAACGCGGACAGGTGCGCTCCCGTGGTGAGCGGTCGACAAGACGCTTCATCCAGCGGCCCGCGGCTCCACCCGTGTCCGGCGGCCCGCGGCTATAACACCCGTGACCAACCGTCCGTGTACTTACCTGCCGTGGCCAGCTTCCGCAGCAGCTGAGTCCTCTGCCGCTTCCGACGAGAGGCCCTGAGTTTGGCAGCTTTAGCCGCGTCGCCTGGGGATACACACTTAGTGAATAGATGGTCTGAAACTGCTGAGATATGTAACTAGCCACCAGCCAGAGCCAAAGAGAAACATGCCGAGCCTTTAACATGTGGCAATGTTTTACAACAACTACAGAAGACTTCCTCGTTATCTAATTCTTGCCAGCCTTCTCCACAGAACATTATGATGTACAATTACAACATCCATTACGCTAATATTGAAAGACACACGGGTAAAAACAGACTGCTCTTTTACATGGGAAGCGCTAGGTACCTACCCGTTTCTGAAGCCGCCAGCGGGTCTCGCGTCTCCTCGTGGGACGTCGGTTGGGTGTCGGGGACAGCTGAGGGAGAGGACGGTCCGGTGGCGTCCGCGGCTAGCTGGCCGTCCTGGGAAATAAGCGTGGAGGGAACCAAAGAAATTGGGACTAAAAGCGGTAACGAACCATCTAGTCAACGAGACTATATCATGAATAAGACTCAAGATAAGGCATAGCTAAAACAATATCTATTATGCTATCATATCTACCGCGGACAAGGTCATAAATTTAGTTCAAGGGTTTAAAATCAAAGAAGTTTAACAATGAGCACAGGTTTAATGATAAAAATATCTTTTATAATTCCTGCCAAACTTCAAGAACAAAAAGGATGAACTGAATCTTGGAGAAAATCGTACCAAGCCGTTTCCGGGTGACTTAGTTATAACAAAGCCCTGTAGCTATTCTCGGTTTTGTCGAAAGCCAGTGAGTGGCTACAACCCCCCCCCCCCCCCCCCCCAACAGTGATATCAGGACCGAGCCTTTTCCACACTCACCATTAAGATGAGATCGCCCTCGCCGATCGGCGCTGTTCCCTGGCGCTCCTCCACTCGCCGGCGATGCCGTCCAATCATTTGAAGCGTGGAATTGAGAGGCAGGGCCGGCGCGTCCGGTCCCGCCTCGGCCTGGATCTTATCGAATATCTCCCGGTTGGTGAGACGGTGTCCCTCGCGGTCTAGCAGCTCCCGCATCTTGACAGCCATATCGGCCGCCTGGGTAGGTGATTTAAGCGTTACGCTTTTGCACCAATCCTACCTATTTGTTTCACTTTTGCACTTAGTTTGTCTTTTTCTGCTGAAAATAAATGAGATGAGATGAGATGAGGAGACAGAATATGAGGGACAGTTCCGGAAGTTTTACAGCCGTGTTGGCTGTCTCGGGAGGAAGAGGGTACCAGAATAATAATACCAGGATAGACGTGGGTCATTGCATGAGAGTTGGAAAAGGGCCTATAAAAAGTTAAAAGCAGCTGGACTTTGCTGAGGGACAGTTGAGGATTGGCTGAAGAACAGATGAGGGGAAGCAAAGAAACAGTTGAGGGTTAGTTAGGAATAGTTGAGAGGAGTTGGAGAAAAGTTCAGGGACATACAGGGTACGGCAGAGATCTAAGGGTGACACAAAGTACAACTGAAGGCCGGCCGGGGGGGGGGGGGGGGGGGAATATACTCGTGTGGCCTCACCTCCCGTGCCGGAGGGAATATACCCGTGTGGCCTCATTTCCCGTGCCGGGGGGAATATATCCGTGTGGCCTCACCTGCACCGTGCGGGGGTTGGCCGGGGGGGGGGATATACCCGTGTGGCCTCATCTCCCGTGCCGGGGGATATATATCCGTGATGCCTCACCTGCACCGTGCGGGGGTCGGCCGGGTGGTTGTGAGATGTGGTGGTAATCAGCCGGTCACCAGAGATGCGGCCGCTGCCAGGGCACCTGTCCTTGGACGTTAGCGTCCTGCGACAGCTGGGGAGACGAATACGGCAGTGAAGGACTGTCCAAACAAACACCCCCTACCCCCTTCCCCCAGCATAAGCGTCCGCCAGTCTAAATTCAATCCAAAATAGATATCCGCGCACATATTACAAACAAAACAACCGAAGGTTTGTTGTCAATAGTTAAAACACTATTAGTTAGAATTGTGTTTTTCTATTGAAAACAAATCTGCGTTCCCTGACAATTTGGCAAAAGTTTGAGCTCTTGTACGTGTTTTGTTATTCACCGTCTAAGTTTCTCAAAAATGGAATGTCGTGCGCTGCACAATAACTATCATTTATGTAATGTAAAAACCCGCTGCCCGTTCTCACCGTAGATATATCGTGCCGCGGAGCAGGTGCCGCTTGTTGTAGATGAAGCCGTCGTCGCCGATGTAGATCAGACTGCCGGAGCGCCGACCCTCGCTCGTCCGGAAACCGACCGATTCCGCTGGCGAAGACAGGGACAGGGTCAGGGGAGGGTGACCAAGAGGACAAGGTACCCAAATCCGGCTCAAGTTCAACAATCTCATTACCTATGTAATACAATATTCAGTGAGGTATATGCTTAATTTCCAGCACACAAATCACCTTCAGCAAAAAAAAAATATATGTAGGGAAATGTTCATTGGGCGACCCATTGGGCAACAGGGATTAGTAAGCATGAATTAGTAATTTAGCTACATAGTGTCTGTTTCTTTATTGGAGTGCGACATCCACAAAGGTCATTTTGCACCTATCTGCAGAGAGTTGCTTGCAGCTGAGTGCTGACACCTGCCTCCCGGCCCCGCTCGCTGCTGAGTGCTGACCCCTGCCTCCCAGCCCAGTAGGCCCCGGCTGACCGGGACGTCACTCACGGGAGGGTCGACTCCTGCGGCGCGGGGGGCGTCTGGAGCCCGGGGGTCGGTCGGGCCGCCGCCGCTGCTGCACGGGGGACGGCGGAGCTACGGCCGACGAGTCGTAACAGAAATCTGTGGAACACAAAACACAGCCGTGACTACAGAACACCGGAGAATGACAACAAAACACAGCCGTGACTACAGAACACCAGAGAATGGCGACAACAAAACACGACAGTGACTACAGAACACCGGAGAATGGCGACAACAAAACACAGCCGTGACTACAGAACACCAGAGAATGGCGACAACAAAACACGACAGTGACTACAGAACACCGGAGAATGGCGACAACAAAACACAGCCGTGACAACAGTACACCATAGAATGGCGACAGCAAAACACGACAGTGACTACAGAACACCAGAGAACGCCGACAACAAAACACAGCCGTGACTGCAGAACACCAGAGAATGGCGACAACAAATTGTGTTTTATCGTGTTAAATCGTGTTTTAAACACGACAATGACTAAAGAACACCAGAAAATGAGCGGCGAAAAACCAACACCTCATCAACAACAGAAACCCAGGAAATGGTGACAACAGAACACAACTCACCAGCTGATACTCAAGGTACATATATGCGGTGACGGTAAACACCATTGTCTAGCCACCATCGAAATTGCACAATAACCGTATAAACAGCGTCATAATATCCATTTCAATCACCACAATCCTCAGATTGGTAAAACTCCGCACTAATAAAAAACGAATATTTGTCAAGCAGTGCTCTATCTCAAGAGCTATCGAAGAAAGCCAATTAGAACCGCGTCATCTAGCAGATAGGCCGCCCGTGTTTACGTGGTTACTGCTCTGTGTGTTGTGCCTGCCTAGTGCTTGGCTAGAACTACTAGTTATATCCCCGTGAGAGGCCCTGCTCACCTGTAGTGTTCTGTGAGAGGCGTGCTCACCACTGCTCACTGCCTATCAGAGACTATGCTAACCTCATTCCAGCTCTGTCACCTCTGTGCCATCTGATTCCCACCCACTTCCTGCCCTGTAAGAGATGGAGCTCACCCGAGTACTGAGTGCCCGGACGTCGTGCCTGTCTCCGGAGCCGCATTCCGGAGCCAGTGACACGCCGCCCGGACTCCTCCTCTTCCTCCGGCTCATACTCCGGATCTTCCCCTGAATCATCCCCTGATTCATCTTCCAGCTCACTCTCCGGCTCAACCTTTATATCGCCAACTCCCGCGTCGTCTTCAACGTCCATCTGGTCATCGTCTGGAGCCTCTGAAACAGAGAGTTAAGACAGAGTTGCAAACTATTACACATCGAGACATTTTAAAAAAGACATCCTACGACCAAACTGTGTTTTAAGTTATCTATCTAAAAAAATAAATATAGCAAATATAAGAGATAGGATAAGATGCATCAGCAAAATCTGCCAATGCAATACATGACTGCACTTGCTGTGCGGTGTCGAATCCCGCACCTGATTGGGGCGATGAGTCGGCCGGAGTTTCGTCCCGCTCGGCGTCGTCTGAATGTACAGACGCGACCTCCTGTTTGACCTCTGGCAACTCGTCACCTGGCAACACAGAGCACGCAAACCTCGTCTGACGTCCACAACAGGAAACCGACCAAAGGCCAGACACGAAATTGCAGGACAGCTCAATTTTACGGTAATTGGAAATGTGAGGTGCATGCTTGTACGGTTTGCAAAAATAATATGACCATTTCCTCAACAATTTGTGATAAAGACTAGCGAACAGCGACGATTTGGGGCAATTTACAATCACAGTAACAGTTCGGAGTTAAGATGAAGCGATTTATAACAACAGTTCAAGTTTTGAGAGCCTCCCTCCCCACATACCGATTACCGATTACGCTGAACTATTACTGAAGTACGTTTTTTTCAGAATCGGGTCAGAACAAAACACTGATGACATTTTGAGATCCAGACGCATCTGTCTATTTCAGGCACTCACTTGCGTCGCAACGTCGTTTGTAGCTAACAAGAGTAGTTATACACTCAATCATAAACCGAACCACTGCCCCCTCCCCAAATTAAACTTATGTCACATCGACCAAGACAATCAGACGCCTATGTTCCCCGTCAATCCGATTAGAAGCGTAGAGGCGACGACTTTGCTACCGCGGTGTGTCGCTCGTGAATGAGTACGTGTCGAGCCTGGGACGCCATCTTTCTGCGCGAAGGCCATTCCACCCTGAGTCTAATCTAGATGCATGGTAGCCCTGTCTGTTCTACCCCACATCCACTCTATGTAGATGAATGGTATCCCGTCCATTCTAACCCCAATCCACTCTATAATTCGCCTTTTTAAGTTCACCTCTCCTGTGAACATCTTTTTGAGCATAGCAAGAGATTTGCTGATAGAATGACTGAGAAAACTGGTTAGCGCACATTGTATTGAAAATATCAATAGGTAATGTGGTGAAAATATCTTTTCAACGCCCATAAGATATTGTAGCGCTAAACGCCTTGTGCTCCATAAGTTCAATTATACCCCCAACCAATCGTATACAGGGTGTCCCAAAATAACTGGCACACCCTCCTACAACCTTGATTTTGCCCACGGCCAGGTCGCCGAGGCACTGGGCGTGAGTCGCCGCACGATTTGGCGCTGGTTGTCTCACGCGACAGAGGCGGATAGACGCTTGAGAACTAGCCGGGTCACGGCATGCTGAGTTCCGTCAGCCGGGTAGCCTATACTTGCCTCACCTATACTTAGTACTTACACTCCTACTTGCCAGGTGCGCACTCCCATCGAACTGGGCGCACCTCGGGCTTGCACATGTCATGTTTTGCAGTCAAGGCGACGACTGCTTTGGATCAGACCCAGTCTGCAAACTTGCAAAGTATGGCAATTTCGACGAGATCTCGTCGGTGCGGACTTGTTCAGCTGGTGCGGATTTGGTGCGGATTTGGCCTGGTGCGGTGCGGATATGGCTTGGTGCGGTGCGTATTTTGTGTAGCGCGGTGCGGATCTGGCTTGGTGCGGTGCGTATTTTGTGTAGCGCGGTGCGGATTTGGCTTGCCGACGGACATGACGGACCACACGAGATAGATAAGGAAAATCGAAAAGCTTTGTTGGAGCTTCTACCTACATGTGATTCAGTGTGCTCTCCGGTCCAAATGAGTGTGCAGTGGTCAGAACTGGCGCCGGCGGTAGGGTGGGAGGGATGAGCACGGCCGATGGAAGGGACTCGAGATGAGCAGGCCGATGGAAGGGACTCGAGATGTGCACGGCCGATGTGAGGGACTCGAGATGTGCACGGCCGATGGGAGGGCTTGGGGACCACCGCCCCGCCGCTTCCAGCAGTAAACAGGTACAATGTGAACTGTGAAGTGTGAACACTTTATTGGCGAAGCAGCTTAGAACGAGGTTGTTGCGTTATGCAGCATTGAATGAGATGCGCTGATGCGCTGAGATGCGCTGGCTCATGTGTGGGTTCGGGGTTGTCGCCCAATGGTAGGGCATGAGGTGCACAGCCAGTGGCAGGCTTTGAGGACCACCATTTTGCTGTGGCTCAAGTAGTCAAATCCACTGCAAATGATTTGCCTATCAGATCTATTCGACACAACTAATGAGCTAATGAGTGATGTTGAAAATGCTTGCCTGCAACGGGCCCACATTCAAACATTCATATTTTTCCTTTTTATAATTGAGGACTTAACCCGCGCCCCACTGGGGTCTGCGTATAACACGCCCTACTGGGGGGGCTATTCATAGCCCCCCCTCCTAACTCCGAAACTACTGGGCCGATCGTCAAAATTCAAACGGCGTCTGATAGCCCCGGAAAAACTGTCGAGCGAAAACTAATTTCATTGACCTCAAGGTCACCGATGACGTCACAGGTCAGGTCAAAGTAAAAATTATTAGCATTTTGGCTTATTCACGTTTTGGGCTCTGGCCGCCGTCTTACAAGTCAGATCAGGCTCATTTTTGGATCACACACTCGGGGACAGATGCTCTAGTTACCCTGAGGGTACCAAACTTGTACTTTGATTTTCAGGTCAAGGTCAGGTCATCACAGGTCACGAAAATATTATATCATGCGTCGGTCACGTGACACATGTTTTATGGTCCATTTAGGTCAGAGATTTCGAATTTGATGTCGTCTGTGTCATTCGATGTCATTTTGAGTCGAATTTAGCTTATGTTAGGTCATTTTCAGGTCAAAAAAGGTCAAATTTTGAAGTTAAAATTTTTCAATAAAAAAGGTGTCTATTGGATGCAGTTTGAGCTCAGGAACACGATGGTGCTATTTATATTGGCATACGATGTCAAATACGTGCTGAAAAATTGATTTGAAAAATAAATAATTGATAATTTTTTGCAATAATGCTTAAAACTTGGCCATTTTTGAAGATATTTAGCTAAAACTTGCTAGAGTTAGTCATAATAATGCGTTCTATCACATATATTCCGTTTTTTTTCGAAAAGTCAAAAACTTTTTGAAAAAAATGTAAAAATATAAATTTTGGATATTATTATATCAAATTTTCAAAATTTTCAAAATTTCGAAAATCCGAGATAGCAGTTTGATAGCGCAGTCTATTCTAAGTCCTCTCATGCAAAGAAATTGGATCTAGCCAAAAAACTGAGCTCTTGGGAGCGATTGCCGTGGTTCAATGTTTTGCGTCGAAATCGGCCGAACATGACGTCACTCTGACGTCATTTCCGGCCGACCTATAGTAGGTACGAAGTTAAAATTTTGACACAAGGTGTCAAATTGATGCAGCCTAAGGTACTGAAAGTTTGGCGTCGATACGTCAAGCGGTTTGGAAGTTATTGCAGAAAAACGGGAGGGCCCCTAAATAGCCCCCCCCCCCCCAGTGGGGCGCGGGTTAACATGTCGCCAAGCCGTTTCGCTAAATCTCAGGGTCAACGGCGTTGGGGTAACCAGGGTACATAGCACAATAATCACCCTTGATGAATCACCTGGGGTAGGTACTTGTTATTATCCTCACATTGGTGTGACATGCTTTTGTTTGGTTGAGTCATGTCACATGTGGTACTTATTTCTCATTTCAATGAAGATGGTGGGCTTGCGGCTTGTCGTTAATTGAGAGCAGTGCGGATTTAGACTGGCTATTTTTGGCTTCGGTGCAGACTTTTAGGACTAGCAGCCCGCTTTGGCGTGGATTTTCTGGCTCTACATATCTGAAGGGTCGGTACAGATATTTAACTTGCGCCGGTGCGCCTTGCATACTTTGCAGTATGGGATCAGACTCACCAAGCATGCTGGACAGAGCATCTGCCAAGTCCTAGACAGCTTCCCCGCCTCCAGGTGCAGCAGTGGCAGGTCTCTAGGTGCCAATATCTGGAAAATAACTCACAAGTAAGGACTGAGACTTCTGCATCTATCTACATACCATTTATCTCAACCACAGATTGAGCTACTCGAATAACAAAATGTTGATCTGATCATGATAGACATACACCATGGTCATAATTCATGAATTTTCATCAAATTATTTGAAATGCATTTGTTCACTTGACCGCAATCTTGGCCTTTGAGGGCCCTCTGCCGGCCTCTGGGGTCCAACGCTTGCCTATGAGTTCCTCTTTAAAATGGTTAACTGTGCATGTTCATATCTCCAGCAGTTTTCTTACAAATAGCGTTTTTCGTCTACCCGTCTTACTTTTTACGCTTCTTACATCCAACACAAAACAACAGCACAAAAGGCTGTGTTCAAGAGCGTAGGTTGCAACTCCGCAAACACTTGTTGACAACTATTAACGGAGAAGTGGTTGACCAATCGTCATAACAACAAGTAAGTATTACCTTGGTATTACCAATTTCAAACACCATCAGGTGCGCCGAAATTGACTACATTAGTCGTGTTATAGCAATTTTGACGACGTCGATCAATTGACTTTGAGCAGGAGGTTTATATTTGTGAATATCAAATAATATGATATTCGGACGGGGAACGCAATAAGTAATAACTCATAAACCAATAAACCGATTTTTGGGAATAGGACCTCATTCAACTCACCGTTTCTCAAAGCAGATTGCCAGCGATTTTAAGGGACGACGGTGAAAACAGGGCGCCTGGGGCGATTTGATCAAGGTTCGTGAAATTCATGTAACGGAAGTTAGCAGGGATTCAGCAGGGGTTCAGCAGGGATAGACGGCCCCTACGATTTCGCTGAATTTTGGTGGAGAGGTGCAGAATGGTGTCCTCTATCGAAAATCCTAGTGCCAAAATGCGGGGAATCCATCAGGGGGGCCACAAATCCCAAAAAACAGTATGCCCTCAGGGCACAATCGACGAACTTTGAAAACCCTACTTCTAGCCGTCAAAACAGCTAAAAATGCACGTCATTCGAAAGAGGACAAAATTTTACATGCAACGGTACCAAATTTAGGGGGCTAGCGCCCCCCGGAACCGAACAAAACAGCTTCAAATATATGGGCCCGGGAGTATGCCCTCGGGGCATAAATAAACGTTTTCAACAATTTGAGGCCTATAACATCGACAAAATCCAGCAATATGCACATCATTGGAAAGAGCGTAATTTCCCAAACAAAAAACCCAAGTAACATTTTTCGATGGGGCCCACCTGGGGCCCACGGGACCCAATTGAAATTTGGGGCCCAATGGGGCGGCCCCTACGATTTTCTTCAAAATTTGCAAAGACACTCTCCTGGGCCCCCTCTTCAATCCGGCTGAAGAAACCTACCGGGGAATCCAAAGGAAGGGGCCCAAAAAGGGCCCCAAAGAGGCCCTTTCTAAGTATTGCCCCTAATTTCGCGACCAACCCCGGCAATATGCACATCATTGGAAAGAGCGTAATTTCCCAAACAAAAAACCCAAGTAACATTTTTCGATGGGGCCCACCTGGGGCCCACGGAACCCAATTGAAATTTGGGGCCCAATGGGGCGGCCCCTACGATTTTCTTCAAAATTTGCACAGACACTCTCCTGGGCCCCCTCTTCAATCTGGCTGAAGAAACCTACCGGGGAATCCAAAGGAAGGGGCCCAAAAAGGGCCCCAAAGAGGCCCTTTCTAAGTATTGCCCCTAATTTCGCGACCAACCCCGGCAATATGCACATCATTGGAAAGAGCGTAATTTCCCAAACAAAAAACCCAAGTAACATTTTTCGATGGGGCCCACCTGGGGCCCAAGGGACCCAATTGAAATTTGGGGCCCAATGGGGCGGCCCCTACGATTTTCTTCAAAATTTGCACAGACACTCTCCTGGGCCCCCTCTTCAATCTGGCTGAAGAAACCTACCGGGGAATCCAAAGGAAGGGGCCCAAAAAGGGCCCCAAAGAGGCCCTTTCTAAGTATTGCCCCTAATTTCGCGACCAACCCCGGCAATATGCACATCATTGGAAAGAGCGTAATTTCCCAAACAAAAAACCCAAGTAACATTTTTCGATGGGGCCCACCTGGGGCCCACGGGACCCAATTGAAATTTGGGGCCCAATGGGGCGGCCCCTACGATTTTCTTCAAAATTTGCACAGACACTCTCCTGGGCCCCCTCTTCAATCTGGCTGAAGAAACCTACCGGGGAATCCAAAGGAAGGGGCCCAAAAAGGGCCCCAAAGAGGCCCTTTCTAAGTATTGCCCCTAATTTCGCGACCAACCCCGGCAATATGCACATCATTGGAAAGAGCGTAATTTCCCAAACAAAAAACCCAAGTAACATTTTTCGATGGGGCCCACCTGGGGCCCACGGGACCCAATTGAAATTTGGGGCCCAATGAGGCGGCCCCTACGATTTTCTTCAAAATTTGCACAGACACTCTCCTGGGCCCCCTCTTCAATCTGGCTGAAGAAACCTACCGGGGAATCCAAAGGAAGGGGCCCAAAAAGGGCCCCAAAGAGGCCCTTTCTAAGTATTGCCCCTAATTTCGCGACCAACCCCGGCAATATGCACATCATTGAAAAGAGCGTAATTTCCCAAACAAAAAACCCAAGTAACATTTTTCGATGGGGCCCACCTGGGGCCCACGGGACCCAATTGAAATTTGGGGCCCAATGGGGCGGCCCCTACGATTTTCTTAAAAATTTGCACAGACACTCTCCTGGGCCCCCTCTTCAATCTGGCTGAAGAAACCTAACGGGGAATCCAAAGGAAGGGGCCCAAAAAGGGCCCCAAAGAGGCCCTTTCTAAGTATTGCCCCTAATTTCGCGACCAACCCCGGCAATATGCACATCATTGAAAAGAGCGTAATTTCCCAAACAAAAAACCCAAGTAACATTTTTCGATGGGGCCCACCTGGGGCCCAAGGGACCCAATTGAAATTTGGGGCCCAATGGGGCGGCCCCTACGATTTTCTTCAAAATTTGCACAGACACTCTCCTGGGCCCCCTCTTCAATCTGGCTGAAGAAACCTACCGGGGAATCCAAAGGAAGGGGCCCAAAAAGGGCCCCAAAGAGGCCCTTTCTAAGTATTGCCCCTAATTTCGCGACCAACCCCGGCAATATGCACATCATTGAAAAGAGCGTAATTTCCCAAACAAAAAACCCAAGTACCATTTTTCGATGGAGCCCACCTGGGGCCCACGGGACCCAATTGAAATTTGAGGCCCAAAGGGGCGGCCCCTACGATTTTCTTCAAAATTTGCACAGACACTCTCCTGGGCCCCCTCTTCAATCTGGCTGAAGAAACCTACCGGGGAATCCAAAGGAAGGGGCCCAAAAAGGGCCCCAAAGAGGCCCTTTCTAAGTATTGCCCCTAATTTCGCGACCAACCCCGGCAATATGCACATCATTGAAAAGAGCGTAATTTCCCAAACAAAAAACCCAAGTAACATTTTTCGATGGGGCCCACCTGGGGCCCACGGGACCCAAATGAAATTTGGGGCCCAATGGGGCGGCCCCTACGATTTTCTTCAAAATTTGCACAGACACTCTCCTGGGCCCCCTCTTCAATCTGGCTGAAGAAACCTACCGGGGAATCCAAAGGAAGGGGCCCAAAAAGGGCCCCAAAGAAGCCCTTTCTAAGTATTGCCCCTAATTTCGCAACCAACCCCGGCAATATGCACATCATTGGAAAGAGCGTAATTTCCCAAACAAAAAACCCAAGTAACATTTTTCGATGGGGCCCACCCAGCCAGCAATTCGTCCGGGATGCGGTTGGGGACGGTCGGGATAGGCTCCGGATGTCCCGACTTGTCCCTACCGGGTTGGGTAGGCTTGGGTTGTCCCAATCGATACCGGACCTCGATGGCCGGCGGTAGGGGCGACTCGGGATTTCCGGACCGCATGCTTAATCGGTTGGGACGCGGTACGGATAGCCCAATCGAATCCCATGTTTAGACAGGCTTGTGATTTACGTTGTTATCCCAACCGATCTGAGAAGGCGCTTCGGGCACCATATCCGGTGGCCCAGAAAGCCTGGAAAAGCAATCAGATGGGCCGCGTGCAGGCAGACGCGTCCTCTGAGCGCAGCGGCCAGTCTAGCTGCCGCGTTGGTCAAGTGTCGATCCCTCCTTTGAGCTGCTGCCTTAGGATATTGCTTTTGAACTGGCTCTAGCAAGCGGTCGGTTCAACTGTTGTCGTTGCAGGGAAATCAGTCCGTCTTTGAGAACAGGGTGAGTATAGTGCACACTTCATCCGTGATGTAGGGAGCGGGAAAGCTATAGGTAATACAAATTTTTATGTTCGTTGTGGTTGTACGGCATGTGAATTACACTCGTGCTGTCGCATGTTTGATCAGTTATCATGGACAGAAGATGTTTGGTCTCATTGTCCAGCGTCGTTGGTTGCATTGAAGGCTTGAAACCTGAATTACCCGGCATACCATGTGAAATGTCAGATGTGGGTTATTTCTTAGTGATTTTTAGTGTGTCCCAGACTTTGATTAATTACCTCTTGGTCATTTTCAGATGCTCTCTTCGCACAGTGGTGAACCGCCCGACCAGATGCCAGCCGTCCACATAGTTTCGCGGTGGCTCTCTGAAGCCCGTGACGGCACACGGACACACTGTCCGCAGAGGAGCCGACACGAACAAGGCGCAGGCCTGCTATAATGACTGTGAACACCGGAAGTGAGTCCGCTGTGCCAGCGCCTTGCAGCGGCGCTAAGATGTTGGCCGACGCCACGAATGTGCTGGCCAGGCTGTGAATTTGTAAAAATTTGACCTGTGTGCAACCAGTAAATTTGTGAATATATTTCAGTGTCCAATGTAATTCATTTTGTCGTGCAGGCATTATAAAGGTTGAATTGGAGAATAATGAAGAGGCGAGGGGTTGCGGTGGCGCAAGCAAAGTGGTCGCATCTGCATAACAGCAATCTGCGGTTATAAGACTGCGGTTAATATGCCAGATACCTGCGGTATTCCCGAACCGGCCGTGCGGGCCGAGTTGGGACATCCCGATCGGGATCGGAGTTCATCGCTTGTTAAAATGCCATAAGGCGGTTCGGATGCGTGCGGGATTTCCGAAGCGGTTGTGCGGGGAGATTTGGGGAATCCCGATCGGGATCGGAGTTAAGCGCTTGTTAAAACGTCATAAGGCGGTCCGGATACGTGCGGGATCTCCCAACCGACCGTGCGGGGTAGGTTGGGATATCCGGACCGTTCCAGCCCGTACAAAGTGTCTCATTTCCCAATCCTGTCCCACTCCGGTCCCGATCGGGGTGGTGCGGGCTGAGTCCGAAAAACCCGATCGGGAACGGAGTGGGATTGCTGGCTGGGCACCTGGGGCCCAAGGGACCCAATTGAAATTTGGGGCCCAATGGGGCGGCCCCTACGATTTTCTTCAAAATTTGCACAGACACTCTCCTGGGCCCCCTCTTCAATCTGGCTGAAGAAACCTACCGGGGAATCCAAAGGAAGGGGCCCAAAAAGGGCCCCAAAGTGGCCCTTTCTAAGTATTGCCCCTAATTTCGCGACCAACCCCGGCAATATGCACATCATTGGAAAGAGCGTAATTTCCCAAACAAAAAACCCAAGTAACATTTTTCGATGGGGCCCACCTGGGGCTCACGGGACCCAATTGAAATTTGGGGCCCAATGGGGCGGCCCCTACGATTTTCTTCAAAATTTGCACAGACACTCTCCTGGGCCCCCTCTTCAATCTGGCTG